AGCGCCTTCACCGACTCCGTCTTGCCGGTGCCGGCCGGGCCAAAGGGCGACCCACCGAGCCGGCCCTCCAGCGCCTGCGTCATCGTCAGGTAGCACCGGTCGGTGAGCGGCGTCTGCACCAGCTTCTCCTGCACGCCCAGGTACTCGAAGCCGTAGAAGAACTTGGCGTTGGCCATGTGAATCGTCAGCTGCTGCAGCACGTCGGTCTGCTTCGGGTCAAAGTAGAAGCGCATCTGCGCCAGCCACTCGAAGCACTTCGGGCTGCTGACGCCTGACTTAATGAGGCGGCGGGTGACGTCGCGCTTGTGCACAAACTCGGTGATCAGGTGCTCCAGCTTCTTCCGGCGAAGTGGGGGCTGCTCCTGCAGCACCGAGTCGGCGAGAATCTGCAGCGTCGACTCGACCGACTGGAGGACGGTGGCCAGCGGCGCGGTGGGGTCGTCGGCGGCCGAGGAGGCACCGCCGGCCGCCGCCGCCGCCGCCAGCGCCTGCTCCATCTGCTCGCTCCAGCTGATCTGCGCCGCGAGGACGATAATCTGCGCCTGGTACTTGTCCAGCCACTCGATGAAGACGGGCACCTCAATGGCGCCGGATCTGAGGAGGGGAAAAGGATCAATTAAAACCACTCTCACACTCACTCAAACGATTTGCCAACAACTTACCTAAAGGCCATCGAGTCGGCGACGGCGCTGGCGAGCAGCTTGCCCAGCGTGTAGCGCATCTCGCGCTCCAACAGCGACAGCCACTTGTTGATCTTCGGGTTCTCCGCAATGCTGATCGGATTGGCGAAACGCACCTCCTCGCCCTCCTTTGAGCAGAGGCCAAGTACGTTTGGCGGTGTTCCGCTCTGAGCAGCGGTGGTAGTGGCACCAGCAGCAGTAGAACTGCCATTCTCCGGCTCACTGAGAATGATGNAGCAGAGGCCGAGCACGTTTGGCGGTGTTCCGCTCTGGGCAGCTGTGGTGGCTCCGGCACCAGCAGCTCCAGCACTGCCACCATTCTCCGGCTCGCTGAGAATGATAGAGGCGACGCCGGCAAACATCTTCTTGAAGTGCTTCTGCAGGCGGGGAATGTTCTTGCTGTTGCCGATGATCTCCAGCAGGTCCTCGTCGCCGACAAAGTAGAAGCGCGGGAAGCTGCTGCGCTCCCGCTCCAGGTACTCGCCCAGCGCCTTCTGAATCTTCCCCAGCAGGTCGGAGAGGCGCTCCAGCGACCGCTGCACCCCCGGAATGTTCATCACGTCCATGATCATCGGATTCTTGGAGACCTTCTTCATCAGCTGGAGGAACTCGCTGCTGATCGACTGGAAGCGGCTGGTCTCCACGGGCAGCAGCGCCTGAATGTCCGAGCTGCCGCTGAAGATGCCCTCCAGGTAGACCCACCGGGGCTGCACGTCGATCCACACGTCGAAGATGGCGTTGATGCGATTCAGCTTCTCCTCCCAGCTGAGGGCGTCCTCCTCAAATTCGCGGTAGTAGGGGGAGAGCTTCATCGCCGTGATCGAGTTGATGTGCTCCTTCACCTTCGTGAAGAGGTCGTCCCAGCCGCGAATGATGCGGCACTTCGACTGGTAGTTGACCAGGTCCAGCTCGTACGTCTGCCAGAACTCGCGCACCTGCTTGAGGAACTCCTCCAGGGCCATCTCGCCCTGCGCCACCTGGATGATGTCCTTGACGATCAGCTCGTTGCGCTGCAGGTCAATGTCCCAGACCTGGCCGAGGGTGAGCTCAGAGAGGACCCAGCTCACCTTGAGCTGCTTGGTCAGCGCTCGCCAGTGGCGCTCCTTCAGCGCGTCCGACTTCAGCTCGACGATGAGGACGTTCGACTTGGTGTAGCCTAGTGAGGGAATAGGATAGATTAGTAAAACATCTCATCAACCACAAAAAAGTTTTAAACTTACTCTGCAGCACCCGCTTCACATAGTCATAGCTCGCATACTGCCTCATCCTCGCCGGCATCTCCTTCAGCTGCGTCAGCAGCCCATCGAGCTGCTGCCTTAGCTTGCGCGGCTGCACCGACAGCCAGGGCAGCTCCTTCAGCGCCTCAATCTGCTCCCAGACGCCGGCCAGCTCCGTCCAGACGGCCTTCAGGTCCTGCAGCTCCTCCAGCGAGACGGCCAGCTTCTCGTCGTTGGGGCTACTGGCCACACTGCCCGGCTCGAGCAGCTCCAGCGCCTCCCGGGCGCGCATGATGTTGTCGCGGTCGTCGCGCAGGTGGTTGAACTTGCTCTCAAAGATGCTCAGTCGGCTGATCGCCTCCTTGGGATTGGTCGACCCGGCCACCGGCTTGCCGCGCTCCCACTCGCTGAGAAACTCCACCGTGCGCGCCTCGACGCTCTTGTCCTCGGCGACAATCTTCACCTGCAGGCTGGTCACCTGCTGCTGAATGCTGGCGTCCTTCCGCTTCATGATCTCACTGAAGGCGCTCCACTCGCCCTCGATGTTGTCCACGTAGAGCCAGTTGTTGGGAAACTGAAAGCGCTGTCGCTCCAGAATGCGCTGCCCCTCCTTGTACACCTCCACCTGCTTGCTCCAGGCGACCTTCTTGCTCTTCAGCGACTGGACGTAGGTGATGAAGGTGACGGCGTCCTTGGTGTTCGCCGTGTCGATCGACTGCTTCTCCAGCTCGCTGCGCGACTTGCTGATCGCCCCGTGCAGGCTGACCATGTCCGCGCCGAGCAGCTGGCCGAACTTCCCGAGCACCTCCTTGTGCCAGCTGTCGTACTTCAGCGTCACCTTCGACTGCACCTTCGCGTAGTCCACCACGATGGGGCCGATCTCCTTGCGCGTGTCGGCGGTGTCGAAGGTGGTGCGGCTCTTCTTGATCTCCACCAGGGTGTTCATCCACCGGTGCACGTCCTCGCCCAGCTTCGCGTACAGCTGGTCCGCCTGCAGGTCCCACAGCGACTGGTAGGTGAGCCACTGCTCAATGTAGTCGCGCATCTGGCGGATCTTCGCCTCGATCGCCGTGTAACTGGCCTCCAGCACCGCCTTCGCCTCGGGGATCTTACTGAGCAGGTCGCGGTACTGCTGCGGCTGCGGCCGGTCCAGGCCCACCTGGTAGCGGCTGCTCTCCACCCGGTACAGCGTCAGGATGACGTTCTGCCAGGCGAAGAGCTCCTGCAGCAGGCTGAAGCGGGCCTCCTCCACCGAGGGCCGGATGAACATCACCTGGTTGGTGATGCAGATCTCGTGCACCTTCGGGGCGATCTTCGGGTCGCCGCCCAGCTTCGCCGCCGCGCCGCCGCCGCCGCCCCCCGGCGCCGTGGCGGTCATCGGCGAGTCGGTGTCCGTCAGCGCGTCGCCCTCGCCCGAGTCGGGCTTGTCGTCGCCTAGAGAAAGGGGAAAAAATGCTAATTAACTTCAATCACAGCCAACCCATTCACTTACCCTCGAGAGCCTTCGTCCAGGCGGCAATGCCCGCCTGAAGGCGCACCGCCAGCTTCGCCTCCACCTCCTCGTCCAGCCGGCGCACCCACTCCGCCAGGTTGGAGTACCGGTGCAGGCTGAGGTCGTCCACCGCCTTCTGAATCTTGCTGAGAATCTCCGCAAAGGTGGTGGCCGAGTAGCTGCAGCTCTCAATCGCCCGCACCTCCAGGTCGATCGCCTCCACGATGTCCAGCAGCTCGTCGACCTTCTCCTGGAAGTTGGAGACGGCCTCGCCGAGGCGCTGCACGTACGAGTCGCGCTTGTACGACTCCCAGACCATGCCGCCGCCCTCGGCAATCTGCTCCTGGACGTCGTGCTTCAGGCCGGCGACCAGCAGCGCCAGACTGGCGCCCTTCGCCTCCACCTTCTCGCAGGCGCGCTCATAGGACTTGACGGTGTCAATCAGCGAGACGGCAAAGGGAAAGTGCTGATTGGCCTGGTGGGCCTTGTTGACGATGCCCAGGGGGACGCGAAAGCCGAGCGAGCGGAGGATGCGCACCTCCTTCGCCAGGACGATGATGTCGGGGGTGAAGTTGACGCGCAGGCGAAAGCCTCGCTGCAGGCCGCCGCCGACGGCGCCGCCCACATTCGAGCGGGCGGCATTCTCGATGGTGAAGATCTTCCCGCTGACATTGAGCTGGCGCTGCTGCACCGTGCGCGTCCACTCGTCAAAGATCGCCTGCGTGTTCAGCTTCAGGCGGAAGCTCTCCGCGTCGCTCTTCAGCTTCTGCCCCTCGATGTGGTTCTCCCAGCCCTTGCCGAGGATGTCCTCGACGCGCTTCATGTAGACGCTCAGCTTGCGCTCAATCTGCCGCGCCCAGATGATGGAGCCGCTGACGAGGGGAATGTCGTAGACGCGGCTCATGCGGGCGCACTTCGACTGCGGGTACTGCACCTTGAACTTCTCGTGCAGCGACTCGATGTCGTCCTTCACCCGTTGAATCAGCTGCGTCTGGTACTCGCGAATGGCGCCGCTGATGTGCGGCCGCACGAAGAGCGCATTGAAGCGGCTGAAGATGCGGAACATCTCATTGGCGTTCTTCGCCGTGCCCAGCTGGTCGCGCAGCTTCGCGGTGATGCGCGCCTCGACGCGGTCGATGCGCTCGTCGTAGCGCTGAGGAGAGAGAGAGAGAGAAGGAGGGGGGGGGGAAAGGTTAGTAAAAACAAATCTAAAAAGCATAAATAAAAGCTGTTCTTACCTTGATACTGGCGTCCCAAGAGTCGCTGCCGTCCTTGCTCATGTCCAGCGCGTCCACCTCCTTCACCAGCTCGTAGGCAAGATCGACCTCCTCAATTTCGTTCACCTCATTGAAGTGGTGGTGGTGGACGTGGCTGCTGCTGCTGCCACTACTCTGCGAGCTTCGAAGCTGAGCCTCAAAGCCCGAGTCCTTGCTGTCCAGGTCGCTTCCGCCCTGTTGTTGTTGCTGCTGCTGTTGCTGCAAGAGCAGCTCCTTGTCGGCCATCTCCTTGAAGCTGGGGCGGAGGACGCGGAGAATGACCGCCCGCAGCTGCTCGTGCTGCTTGCGAAACTTGCGCATGTGCTCCATGCGCACCTGCAGCTTCTTGTGGGCGAAGCTGATGCGCCAGATCATCTTCAGGTGCTCGTCGCGCTTCTTCTTGATCAGGTCGCGCAGCAGCGTCTGAAACTTCTCGTACTCGTCGTCCCAGACGGTGAAGACCTGGCTGCAGGCGGCCAGCAGGCGGTCGAACTCCTCGAAGGGAATGTGCATCATCCGGCGCGTGCCGAGCACCTTCAGCATCTGGCTCATCAGGTCGCGGCTGATCGCCTCCATCAGCTTCAGCGCCCGCTGCATCGGGTACTTGGTGTTGCGAATCTTCTTCAGGTGAAGGAAGATGCCTGAAAGATGATCAACACGGTTTAGGAAAACACGTTCAACAAGAAGAAGGGTTATAAACTTTCACAGCTTTCTACTCTTACCTTTGAGCGCCAGCTGAATGCGATCCAGGTCGGTGGCCGCGGTGAGGTCATTGAGTGGAAAGTCCTTCATCAGCGGATTGTAGTTGTCCACCATCTCGACGGCCTCCTTCAGGCGGGTGTCCGCGTCAAAGCTGACCGTGGCGTGGAAGCGCTTGCCGTTCTTCAGAATCTCCAGCGTGGTCACCACCTCCAGGGACTCGCGCTTCTCCTGAATGCGCAGCAGCGCCCGCTCCAGATTGAGCCAGAAGCTGATCTCCTGCTGGGCGGTGCCCGAGGAGGGGTCGCGGTCGAGCTTGGTCACCTTCTGAATCTCGCGAATCCACCGGTTGACGCCCGACTGCAGCTGGTTGAGGAAGACCGAGTCGTTGATCTTGTCGGCGAAGTAGTCCATGTTCACCTTGACGCCCTCCTCGGCGCACTGCTTGATCACCGAGCTGACGTGCGGGTGAATCTGCAGGCTAATCTCCGGTATGTCGATGTTCTGCTGCAGGTGCAGAAAGTCCATCTCCAGTACGGCGATGTCCTTCTCCACGTTGGAGACCATCTTGTCGCCGTCGCTGAAAAACAAGAGAAAGTAAAGGTTTAGAGTAAGGAAAAAAATCACTGACAAGTCTCGCGTAACTTACCGCTCAGCTCGACCGGTCGCCTTGACATGCGACTTGAACTTGGGCGCCAAGAAGGCGCTATTGTAAAAGTGCATTTCCTCGTAGGGAATGCTCTCGTCCATAATCTGGTGGCGAATCTGCTGCAGCAGCGTCTTCTCCGCATCCAGTATGGGGCCGCGCTTGAGCAGCGTAAGACTGGTGATCTTCGGACTGAAGGACTTGACGTCCTCGCTGATGCTGTAGTGGACGCAGTTGTCCAGGTCGGCGCTGCTCAGCTGGCTCGCCTGGTCCTCCTCGTCGTCGTCTGTAGAAGAAGAAATTTGGTCATTTAGAAATTGATTACATAAATCGAAGACAACTTTACCTTTGACAAGCTGGCGCAGAATGGAGATCGCCTTGCACTGTGGGTCGCTGATGAAGCGACGCAGTAGTTCGAGGGTGCTGTCCGCCTGAAGTAGCTCTTTCAGCGAGTCGGGGAGGACGCCGTCAGACTCCATAATGACCGGCGCCAAACTGCGAATGTAGCCGACGAGGACGGCCAGGTCGAGGAGGGAGGCGTTGGGCACCGGCGGCACCGCCGGATCGGCGAACTGCCCACTCGGCGCCCCGTCCTCCATTGACAGGTCCGCCATCGTGGTGGGAGTGGTGGTGAGTTGGTGAAATTCGAACCACCACTTCAAAAACTTCTAAAACGGGGGAGTGAAAGTAGAAACGGGTCCAAGAGAGAAAGAGAAAGAGAGAGCTGTTGATGACTTGTCGCCGCTTCGTAGGCTACTGAAAACAGAACAGCAGAGTCAGCGGCAGCCGCCCAACCACAAACACACACAGACAGACAGTGCCCCAACACAGCTCTGATGCTGCCCCTCCACCTGGTTAGCCTTCCACGCGCATTCACCACCTCTGTGAAAAGCCCATTTGGGGGCAATCTATTTATCAAAGCCTCCTGTCACAGAGTACGTACCGGTTGAAAGTTGATCACTTCGCCGGCAAAAGACCACCACCACCACCACAACAGCGACATGAACTTGAACTTGAACTTTTCTTGATCAGATAGAGGAAAATGATATCTTTATCTTTATTGTAAACTTGAAATGAGAAGAGAGGGAGAGAGACTATACAAGAAGTAGAAGGAGAAATGAAAAAGGAAAAAGAAAACATCAATTTACATGAACGGGAAACACAGAACAGAAAAGAAGTAGAAAGCATCTGGTCCAGCACCTTGATCCGACTCAAATCTTTCGCTGGCGTTTGCTGAAGAAGGAGGAGATCCTTCGCTGGCCGGCATTCTCGTCCTCATCATCATCCTCATCATCATCGTCGTCGTCATCACCTTCACCATCATTGCTGCTGCGCATCTCAATGTCAGTGGTGCTGCTGCTCGCCGCGGCCACCGTAGCTGAGGAGGAGGCTTGAGCGTGGGCGCTGGTGTGGTGGGCCTGGGGGTGAACTGTCATGCCCCAGGTGGTTGAGGTCGAAGAGGAGGAGGCAGGGACGGAGCTCTTCGTCGCCAGGACCACCACCGGCGGCGTCACAGACGGCGTCGAAGCGGCGGCGGCGGCGGCAGTCGCATCGGAGTGCGCTGGCACTGCCGACAGAACCGAACGATATCCACCACGACCACGGCCTCTTCCGCGGCCTCGCGTTCCGCCGCCACGGCCTCGACCACGGCCGGTGCCGCTGCCACTGCCTCCGGCAGCGCTCGCTCCGGCGAGCAGGGCGGCCGATCGCCCGGGACGCCACTTCTCATCGTCCCGGTCGTCCTCCTCGTTGTCCTCATCGCTGTCCTCATCATCGTCATCGTCATCATCATCATCGCTGTCCTCCTCCTCTTCGCTGTCATCGTCCTCCTTGTACTCCAGCTCCTCGTCAGAGTCGCTGGTGTTGCGGTGGTGATGTGTGGCGCCTCCCGGCGAGGATGACACTCCTCGACCACGGCTTCCCCGGCCTCGGCCACGACCGCGTCCGCGTCCACGGCCGCGCCCACGTCCTCGGCCCCGGCCGCGTCCCACCGAGGGGCTGACGCCCGTCGAGAGGCTCAGTTCGCCACTGCTGCCATCAGCATCAGCACCACCAATGCTGCCGTCCTCGGAGAGCAGCGACGGCGTGCCCGAGGCGGAGGCAGGACTGCCACCTCGGCCGCGTCCCCTGCCCCGTCCTCGGCCCCTGCCCCGGCCACGTCCACTGCCCCTCGGTCGGCCCATGGTTCGGGCGGGCGTGGCGGAGGTGGTCGAATCGAGATCGCTGCTTTCTGCTGCACCGGCCATCGAGCCACCACCACCATCGGCGCCGTGGTCTGATGATGATGTCTTGCGCGCCGAGGGAACGGCTCCAACGGCAAATGGATTCTTGCGCGGGCGGCCAGGGCGACGCTTCTGAGGGGTGGCCGCCTGCTGATCAGCGGTGGCAGGGGCTGCACTGGTCGAGGGCATTCCCAAAGCTGCTGAAGTGGAAGCCATTGAAGCGGATTGTAGCGGTAGAGCTGAGAGTCCACCACCGCCACCCCCGGTGACTTGCATCATCGTCGAGGTGGCTGCTGCTGCCGAATTCGCCGCCTGATATTGTGGGGCACCTCCAGCAGCACCTCCCACTTGTTCTGCTCTGGGCGCTGATTGCTGCTGCTCATTGGCGCCCGTATCGCTCCAGTCGTCACTCCAGTCGAGCGG